CAGAGCACTGTTTTGATTTTAGGGCCTGATACTTCAATGTTTTGATTCACTCTCATGGCTGTCATCAGCCTCGTTTCCAGCTGCAGCAGGTAGCTGTTTTCAGTGAAAAAGCTCTGATAAACTCACTGCCAAGCACCAAGCAACAGACGGACAAAGTTAGCACAAGGCTGATGAACAAAGTGGAGCACAGAGACGAAAACTGAACTAAAAAGGAAGTGAATATTGTCCTTAAATTTCCAAGGTGACCAGAAAAATCTAGGGGTGGGTGATCTGACAATCTTATATTGGGGACGATCTTACTTTGGCATATGAGCTACTTTTCAGATGAATTGTACAGATCGCATCATTAAACAGTGCTATATTTAGATGTTAAGTTCAGTCGTTGCTAACCCAGAAATTGCTAACAGTTAAACAGTTAGCCTGCTAACCACAGCTGGCGATGGCAGTCCTTGATCTGCTCTGCAGCCTTGGTGTGCTTGGCGTAGAGCCACATGTATTCACCTGAGCACAACAAGAACTACCATCAACAACTGCAGTCCAAGATGGTGGCGTTACAGGGATGAGAAACCTGCCTGCAGGCAGAGAAACAGGAAATGGGACGAGCTAAGGCTAGCTGGTTAGCAGTGACTGCACTTCCGAATTAAAGTATTTACATACAGCACCTTATAAATAAATAACAGCACTGTCCTAACGAATACTCCAGATGAACTAAGCAAAAAGTGTGATTGGTTGTGACACAATTTGTAAACAGAAGACAGCATTGTGGGTGAAGAGTAGCAGCGAGCAGACAAATGTCCAAATGAAGCGTCAACGCTTTGGAAAGCTATGAATCACAATTTCCGGTGAGGTCTTTCACAATAAAATCAGAGCGGAAACAGGATGCAAAGATTTGTCAGTTGGGCCTTTGAGTTGAAGTTACTGGCTTTGTATCCAGGAAACTATATGCACAACTAGTCATGTGATCATGAGTTCAACTAAATGATTCAGATTCAGCTCGTGGGTTGTGATTACACCTGAAAAGATTGTGATCTGATCTTTTGGCTGGATTGCCCATCCCTAGACGAATAACTGCAAATGAATGCTAATGTTGCTCCATATTTGCTGGATGTGTAAATAAGCAACTGTTACTGTTATTACTGAGAACAGTTGCTAATGCATTTGCCATAACTAGTTTGTAAGATGATAATATACCAATGTTGTGTTTACAGGTTATCCACCTACCATCCTTGTGGCCAAAAAAATAAAATTTAATAAAAAAAATCAATTACTGCTTTAAAAGTCAATATAAAAAATGTCTAATTAATTTCCCAAATTTACTGTTAATATATGGATACATATAAAAAAAAGGTCTTGGGAGATACTTCAAAAATGCTCCAAGCTGTTTAAGTTGGCAAACCAGTTTACTGGATGTGTTTGATTGACAGCTAAGCCGGCAGGACCACAGACACACACACTTGTAACTGTAAATTGCAAGCCAAAGAAAGACTTTCATATCACTGCTTTGTTGCAGTGGTATGGAATAATTCGGACCATCACTTCATATCTAAACTGAAAAGTATTGACATTTACAGCTTTAAAGTTATTTAGTGCCACAGTTAGCAAGATAATTGGCTGTCTAACCTCAAAACTGACATTAGCAGTGCACTTCACCTGGATGGATGTTGTTTGCTAGCTCATTTAGCAAGTCAAGGTCCAAAGCAAGATTTTTCCATGTTTGATAAGAGAGCTAAAAAGCTAATGTAGGTCATGGTTCAAAGTCTGAGGCTCTTTCGGAGCTTTGTCACAGCCTTTGTCTAGCATATAGCTGTACTCTGGTGTGACCGTAACTGTCAGCACCAGCCAGTGATAGATATTTGAAAAAACAACACTGTTCTGATCCATATATGTTAAAATAGGTGAAAATCTCTTGAAACAAAAACTAATAAAATATATAACTGAATTTCAGTTTAAACGCCCCCTCCAATGAAATTCAAGTTTTAACCTTGTTGACATGTCCATATGGTGGTTTTTATATGATACAAGACATATCATGAGTGATATAAGCAGTCAGCGACATAGCTGAGTATTTTCACCTTGGAAATGCAGTGAACCAAGGACAATCTCAAAATAACAGATTCAGACAGCCAGTTACAAGCTAACAAGCTAGCAAACACAATAAATAAATAAAAGATGCTAAGTACGCTAACCATTCTGATATGTCTGTTGGTCTCTGGTGCTCCTCATCTGAGTCTGGGTCTGACTGAGGCTCAAACATTTGGTATAGTCTTTTCAATGTTTCCTCTAATGCTTATCATCTTGACACACACTGCTCTTTCACCTGTCCACCTGGAGCAAGCAGTGGTGGTGAGCAGGGCACGAGGCCTGATCCAGAATTTCTCAATGAGGAAGTAAGAGTAGATGAGCTTCACACCCAGTTTTTTAATTACTTTTTATGTGTGAAAACCATGGTAAACAAAATGTTAATCATAGCAGATTATTTTTAAGTAGTATAAAGCGTGCATGGAGGGGAACTATAAAAGGATTACATGTTTCCTGCAGAACTATATGCCTGAAACCCCATTAACATAACCACAAGATGTGAAAAACAGAAAATGACTGAGTGTTTAAGGTGTGAAAGACTCTCGCCCCCATCATACAGACACAATAGTGACAGAAAGAAGCTCCTATTCTCTCTTTTCTGTATTTACTTTTGGTGGAATTCCAGTTACGGCCTCTGGCCTCAACCCAAGCGCCCCACCACTCACTTTCTTCAATGATCCTGTTTCATCAGCATCTTCCAAACCAACCAGGCCAAAATGTTCCGCAGGTCATTAGCTAAAACTGTGACTCTTCGCAAGCTCTTCAGGGATAATGATCATGAATGATATTCACCTTAATCCATCACTGTAACAGATAGTCCTAATGGTCAAAAGCAGTCACTTTTTTAATTTAGTTATATGTTGGTGGTCTCTGTCCTCGCCTGTTGATATGATGAAGAAAGTGATCTTTTACCATCATATCATCACTAAAAAAGGTGTTCTTTAACAACCCACCTTATTTATTTCTCCTACAATTATTTCCCACATTTTCTGTATGTAACACAGTGTTTGGTTCACTTATGGCTACAGCTGGACATAGAGTTTCTGCCTCCTCTATTTCTTCCTGTACGACTGCAAAATGGCAGCTCTAGAAAGAAGAACTTGCACCACTATTCTGAGGAACTGACACCCAAATCTGAGGTTCATCATTGATGCTTTAGTACATTTTGTACTGCAACCCAACGGCCCCATTATCTCTCTTCTTTTTTTTTTTTTTCCCTTACTTTACGGTTCATTTTTCCTTTGTGCCAAGATGCTCCTGCACCTGTGCATTAAACCTGTCATCACCTCACTTACAGAGTGGCACATTATTGTCAAACTGACAGGGCGTCGTTTGAAATGCAACGCACCCCCCCCCAAAAAAAAAAACACACACATACACACAATCCCTACTGCTCCCATCCGCCTCCTCCACACCCCCTGCACCACCACAACAGGATATTGCTCAGTGGCACAGCCGGGTTATAGCTGTATGGAGACATGTAGGGACAGGCCAGGGACAAAGATTCAGACAAGAATTAAAAAACAAGAGGCAGGAGGAGGCAGGAGGAGGCAGGAGGAGGCAGGGGAGCGATACGATCTCCCAGTGCACACAGAGAGGGATTGTGTTCGCTTAGACCTGCCTCATATACAAAGATTATATTAACATAACTGCTCCTTCTTTGCACCACAGGAGATGTTTTTCTAGTGGAGAGGTCTTACTGGGAAAGAACCTGACACAGGGGTGAAGATAAGCAAGGGGTGAAACAGAGCAGATGCTGAAGGAGACTGACAGAAACAGTCAGTGCTCTGTTGAAGGTGTCTCTGGGAGAAAGGTATTCTTATGGTGTGTTGAATGGGGATTGTATTCTTTAAACAAACCTTGAATCAAGGGTGTTCACCTTCTAAGGTCATATTCTCGGAAACTACAGTACTGAATTTTTTGTGGTTTCAGTCGTTCCCAGTTCAACAAGGAGCAACCATTATCGTTTTCTATTTTGGTGTACTTAAGCAATCAGGATCCGCAGAAACAAGACAGGATGAGCAGAGGGAAGTTGGAAATCTTTTGTACCGCAAGAGATGCAGCCACAGAGCTGACAGGGATTATATGCTGTATCACAAGAATGATAATAACAGAGGGAAGACTGGTGTAAAATTCAGGTGGCTAAGAGTAAAGGCACTTGCTCTGCTTCAAAAGGGGGAACAGAAAGCTTTATCAGCAATACATCTCTCCCTAGTGTAGCTTTAATGACAAGGTCCAATGTGTACGTGTCTGCCACGAGGCCCAGAAACACTGACGCAAGACCTTTCCCGCCACCCCCGGGCAGCATCAAAGTCCAGAGAGTGAGTTGTGATGGTGCCGAGATGCAAAGCTTCCTCTTGAATTCCTGACCTTTGCTAGCAAAGCATGGCATTTCGTGCTATCATCAACACATATTTGCAGGCCTTTCAGTCTCTGTAGCCTTGGCCTACGTTTTACAGCCCGGGAGTCACGAAACCGAGCTTCAATTCAAACAGATGTGCTGTCGTACTACTAATATTAAACGCTTTTTCATGATCTTGACCTATAATTCTAGATAAAGTTGATATATGACGCTAAGACAATGACTGACTGTAAAAATTATGCTTCAGAATTGAAATTAGAGAGAATTCAATTTCCCAGACTAATGAGATGTTTGGGTTAATAATTCTGCTCGAGGCCTTACAGTATATTGAGAGAGTTTAAAAGAGTGTCTTTGTTCTAGATATGGCCATGTAAACACTAAAAGATTCCTTTTAGCAGCTTTACATACACTAGTACACCATGTTCCATCACTGGCATGGGGGGATATTGCCACACATAAGACCCAGTAAGCACGTCTATACCTTATTTTCATCAATGTAACCCTGACAAACATGGGTTCAAGTGATGAATGACTCGCACTGTAGACAGGAAGGACTTACTGTTGTTGGACTTGAGATCCCGGTGGATAACAGGGACGATGGCCTCGCTGTGCAGGTACAACATCCCTTTGGCTATCTGCACGGCCCAGTTGACCAGGACGTGCGGCGGGATGCGACGACCCGCCAAGGCCCGGCTCAGCGGCCCACCTGAGGCGTACTCCATGATGAGGCACAGGTTGGGTTCCTGCAGGCAGACACCTTTCAGGGCAATGATGTTCGGGTGAGTGAGCATGGCGAAGAGACGCGCCTCCTGCCTCACGTTCTGAGCCGTCACACTGATGTCCTCGTCCGGGTCTTGACGAGCGGCCTTCACGGCTACCAGCCCGCCTCTCCATGTACCGCGATACACTTTCCCGAAGCCGCCGACCCCTATGACCTCCTCCAGGCTCAGCTCCCGGAAATCCAACACGTCGGGTTCAAACTCGCCCACCACAGCTGGGCCGAGCTCGCCAACCACGCTGCTGCCTGGAAGCTTCCCGTATCCGCTGGGCTTGAAGGAGCCATAGTTGGATGGGAAGATGCCCACCTTGTTGTTGACTTTTCCGGCCCACCAGCCCTCGTCCCCTGATATCTCAGAGTCCAGAGAGAGGACTTCAACCAGGTCTCCTTTACGTAAGGTGAGTTCATCTTTACAGGATGCCTCATAGTCAAATAAGGCTGTCCACACAGGATTGGTGAAGTTCCCTTTTTGTGATTGATCCAAATTTTTCCAGTTCGACAGTGGGCCACGACTGAATATGTTCTTCAGTGGCTCCATGGAGCCTCAAGCAGATGTTTTGACTGGATCTGATTTTGCACCCCAAGGGTTTGAAAATAAAGTACAAAGGAGTACTTTATTGCGCCTCGCTCCCTTTCCTGTCTTTCTTGTTGGTTCATCAGGGACCAGTGAAATGTATTCAAAAGCTTGACCAACAAGTGGGCTACAGGAGAGGATTCAAAGATAACTGAAGTGTCTTTCATTCATCTTAACATGAAATGCAATTCATGAACCAGTCAAGAGACTGCTTTTGTTTGATGACGGCTAAGTGTATCAAAGCTTAGAAAGGCAGCACTGTCTCCACTGAATTTCTCTCTGTGTAAGTGATGTGGTATGTGGTTTCCCAACACATGGTTTGAGCTCAATATCATTTCACCGGCCTGTACTTAAGAGCCTCTTGAATCACCTCATTATGGGCAAATTAGCTCTTCTCTTCCCTCATTCTAAATTGCCACCTGTTGAGTTGTGATTATGAAGACTAAAAGTATGAGGACAAAAATAAAATGGCCTGAAACTTGTTGTAAAATACTTCAAGTGTTGTAATGCCAACTGCAAATTAAGATTCCCACAACTTTGAGCTGTCCATTTTGAGTTTTATGTATTTTTAGCCATCAAGTGCAGTGGCCACCACAAGCAGGAAGCGCTGAGAAGCGGAGAAGAATAGCAGGAAAGGAGCATTCAGTCCAGACAACCAGTGTTTTACAAGTTTCAGGGCTGACCAGTTCGCATTATTAAGCCCAAATCTCCAATAACCGCGTCTGGCCGCAACTTTGCGGCGCTGCCGCAGGAAATCCCGCATCCCGTTCCGCGAGAGTATCCATAATTACGGTCTTATCAGAAGCACACAATGAGCTGGGTTTGATCATAACATAAAACTTACGAACCGCCGACTTTGTAACAGGAAGAGCTATCCAAACCTGCTCGGCTTTACTTTCCAGGGAGAAACGCGCAGTAAAAACAAATCCCGTTAGTTCCTCAATGGAGTTCAGCGCGTGGCCTGGTCCAGCTCGGTGGTGTTGTTACAGTCGGTATCCAAACAGCACAATAACTCCATCATTACTTCTTATCCCAGTACTCTTCCTCGGTCAGTGTTCACTCGTCAGGACCTCGAACCACTTCTACGTCTGTGCTTACAGTCAGTAGAGAGGGTGGGGTTTCAAAACTTTTTCTCTCCCAACAGGAAAAGAGTCAGATGACAGGCAACGGTCGAGTTAGATACAATTCGTCATCAAATATCCGGTTATCGCTTTCAAAGTAAAATTAGCATGTTTAGTTTACTGGCACAAATGGTTGGGAGTAATTTAATGGCTTTTGCTTTAGTTTTGAACCTGTATAACAAAAACAGTAGCTCATACAAGAATTACATATTACAACTTCATTATTTAAACTGTAACCAGGGAATCAAATGTAGCTTGCTAAAACATTTAGGCCAAAGCTGTTCAACTCTGATGACATAAGTCATTTAAATGTGATCAGTGTCAAGATTATATTGCATGGACAATAAATCATAAGAGGAAGTCATTAGTACAGTGATAAGTGACGACTCGTTTACTTTAATTACATGACCTATTCGAATTGGTCATTGCTTAATTTTGCTTTATATTGCAATAAAAATAATGTCAGAAATTATTTATTTATTTCTATCCTTGCAAAAGTACGGAATTAATTTAAAGCGATGTTTATGGACTAGTAATTATCTAATTGTATAAAACCTTTTTATTTACAGTCTATGTGTACAACTTCGTGTACAATCCGTGTACTATGTATTTATCACACTTTTATTTTGAATTTATGATTTCCTTGTATTTTCATCGCTATCTTCCTGCTAACTTCACAGTGCTACTGGGCCAGACCACTGGAGGTGCGTCAAGCTAGCACAAACATACCTACGAAAAAAGAATCAATGTAGGGGGAAGCGTTTACCTTCAAAATAAAAGAGTAAAATTTATGAGTAGGAGGCTATCATAGTGTTGAAATGACTAGAACAGTGATTTTTATGAGATTATTTTGTGTAGTGACATTATGACAAGAAAATACTTATCTAATTAATTGCAGATTTTCCCTTGACCACAAGACACGTTTTAATGTGGCTCTTGTTTTGAAATTCACACTAGAAGTCATGTTTGTTCATTACAGCTCACTTTACATTGGTTGTAACAGGTGCTAAATGAACCTGGGAAAGCAAAAATGCTCAAAAAACATTTACCAAATTATCCTAATCCAAGATGCAAAATCAATTTTTGTTATTCCTAACACAATGTTGAATAGTTCCTGTAAAAGGGACAGTAGAAAACAAAATGAAACTCATTTTCTATATCACTGAGATGGCACACAGCAAATCCACTTTCCACTTTAGATGCAAATATATGCGCCGGGAAAAAAAATCCAAATAATTTCTGTCAGTGGATTTTTCCATCATGTATTCATCTAGTTATTCAAACTGGCTGAACTGAGTTCAAGTTTTTCATCCTCACAATCAACAGGCTGGGTTGCTTAGAAGTTATACCACTTAGTACAAGTATTAGTTTTTACACTCCTAGTTGCTGGAACAGCTCTGTGGAGGACTTGAAATGTGTTCAGTGTGTTTACTTTATTTCTTTTTGCCATTCAATAATGACTGTTGAATCCAGAGGTAGAATGTACTACTACACTTAAGCAGCACTACAAGTTTGAGGTACTTGTATTTAAGTATTTCCATTTTATGGTACTTTATAGTTGTATAGGTATGTATAATATACTAGTTTAACAATTCAAAAGAGGCATTTCAATCTGCTAGTTTTACTTGTAAAGGAACATTTCTTTTCTTTTTCCTGTGTGCTTTCCATTGAGTTTTCTCTTGTGTATTAAATGAAATAAAGATTGCCTTGCCTTATTGTAATGTGTTCAGTCACATAAAACTCAAAAAGTATTTCAAAAATAACCTCAAGTACAGATTTAAGTGTATATTAATGAGTTGGTTCCTAGTGTGACCTCTGATCAAGGCTAAAACACAAGGTACATTTTAAAACACGTTTTTTAAGTAGGCACACAATGAAAGGCTTTTATTTTTGTAAAAAGGCCAAGGGAATTCCTTTTTTTGCCACATTTTTGCATGTTTCCAAAAGTACAGAGCAGTTAAAAAAGTCAGCAGCTTCATGAGAGGGGATGGGAATCAGAGGGCCACCTTTGGCCCCGCTGGCTGCTGTGTGGAAACAGTGTGCTTCCTTCTGTCAGACCTTTGATGGCTCTCCTTCCCTGCCCCATGGCTGCCGTTTGTTTGGACACCGACGTGCTAAAGTCAACCACCTACAACCCACTCCGCCACCCTCTCCCCCACATACACACACATTCACACACATCAGACCCCTCCCTTCTCACAGTCCGCTGAGTCAACGCTTGTGCAGGAAGGATGCAGTTGTTTATGCGGCCCCAGCTCTTGTGTTGCTTGGTTGGATGGGCGGCGGGGTGGGGGGGACTGTTTAAAAAAAATAAAGAAGGCAGGAGGAAGAGGAAAGAAGCTGGACACACACTCAGGGACGACTGTAGCAGCTGCTCTGAAAGTAGAGTGTGTGTCTACGATGCAAACAATCAGCTCTCTGTGAAAACCTTTCCACAAACCTGTACTGTCATGTGTTTATCTGATTCAAATGCCAGGAGGAGGCTGCAATGCTGAGGATAAACAGCAGCTCTTGCCTTTCAGGTTGCATGAGTCATTGGCCAGTAAATCAATGGAAGTTACATCCATGGGAAAGTAAAGAAATTCAAAGGAGCTGAGAAGACACAGTATTGAATCATGACTGCAAAGGATGTGTTCCATGCCTGTGAAATTCGAAAATGAAATAGAGAAGCTCTTTGAAATATTTCTTGCTTAAAGATGCTGCAGGGGTCAGGTTACTTCCTTCCAGCCAGCAAATAAAGAAGTGTGTCTAAAAAATCGCAATTGCAGATTGGCTTGATGTGAAAAGTATTTCAGGCCATTTCATCTCTGATCTGGAAAACACAACTAACCAAAACAAGAGTTGCTTTTTTTTAATTGAAATATGAACTTTATTTCACCCATACAAAATAAAAAGAATGTTAAAAGTTTACAATACAGTGTCAGCTGTCTATTTGGAAACATTTCATACTGAGACTGACATATAAATGGGGAGCCCCGTCTCTGCTTTCATTGGATACATCTAAAACAATCTAAGATAAAGGAGGATGTTACTCAAAATTGGAGGGGTGGCCAGAGGAGAAATTAGAGGGGACAAACACCTTTAAAAACAAAGTCATAGTTCAACAGTCACAGTATACTTCTGATGGGCAATTCGGGGGAATTTAATGGTCGTATAAAATAATAAAGGAGGTCTAAATGCCTGACAGCATCAAAAATAACAACACTGTAAATCTTTAACCTGCTGATATGGTTGTGGTCATGGAAGTTTACAGTTCTCTTGATAAAAAACATGAATTAAAAATAGAAACTAATTCAAAAAAAGCTGTGGCTAGCTAACCTATAGTAAAAATACACCTGCTTCCTTGTTTATGTTACAGGCTGACAATTGAATTGACTAGCAAGTTGTGGCAAAGCCCAGAAGTAGGGCTCACATCTTAACAGCAGTAATTCATAGCCAATAGATAACAGAGTAATATAACACTTCATGGGTGAGACAATGACCTCCCTTTCCCTTAGACAAGTGCTGATCACCTTTCAGATACTTAACAAGCTGTTGCCCTGAACTCATCTCAATTAACTGCCTTTGTATGAGCACCAAAGGCTGTAATAAGGCTTTAACTACCACTTACAGAATTTTTCAGCCAACCTGAGGGTTTGCATGATGACTGACAAGTTCACTTCATCATGTCTACGACAGAGGATTGAGGAAGAAAGAAAAGTGCCAAAAGAAAAAGCTACAAGGCAACACAAACCACACCTATCCTGTCTGCAGGGGCTAATGGCAAAAACGGTGACGACTGCCATTTTTAATAGCCAAAATAGAACGACTGACTTGTTAAAAAACATCCGTGTTGGATTCTCCTCCTACAGTAAAATAAAACCTTTAAAAAAAAAAAAGAAAAAAAAGAAAAAAAAGAAAGAAAGAAAGAAAATTAAAACACATAATATACAACCAGTTTTCTGTCTCCTGCGGCGGTCTCTTCTACAGCCGGCTGTTGAGGGTTTTTCTGTAAGTGGGCTGCGATGAAGAGTCTTTCCCTCCTCTGCTTAGAGCGGCCGCCGCAATTACAACTTAAGAAATTGAAAATAATGTTGAAAGAGCGTGTGTGTGTGTGTGTGTGTGTGTGTGTGTGTGTGTGTGTGTGTGTGTGTGTGTGTGTGTGTGAGAGAGCGAGTGGTGGAGGCGGCGGGCAGACGGAGCTAAGAGTCATAGTCTTCATCGTCGTCATCCTCGTTTTTGTGCGGCGCGGGGGCTGGGGGAGGCGGTGCGACACTCATCATGGAGGGGTGGGGGGCGAAGGCCATGCCGCCTTGGGGCTGTGCTGGAGCCATGCTGCCCATTGAGACCATGTTGCCCATGTGCATGTACGGGGGGGCCGCGTTTGAGCTGCGAGGGGTACAGACAGAGGTGTAAACCAGGTGTTAGAAGATCAGGTCATTAATAAATTACTGTGAAATTAAAAATAATAATAAAATTTGTTTATATAGCACTTTCCTTAACAAAGTGCTTTACAGAAAGAAAAAGGGGAAAAAGGGAAAAAGAGAAAAACAAACACATCATAAAACAGAAGGCAGTTAGATGAGAATATAGACTGTCTGTATCATGGGAAAATAAATCGCAGCAAAATAAAACACAACACATCAAACATTCATAAAGGCTTTCCGATAAAGGAATGTTTTAAGAAGCGTTTTGAAAGACACTAATGATGTAACCTGTCTGATCTCAATTGGCAGACTGTTCCACAGTTTGGGGGCTCATAGGAAAATTGCATTTCTCTGTCATAGTTGGCATACAATTTTTAAATGTATAATAGAAGCAGTGAACTTCCAATAGCCACATTTAGAATCAAATAATTGATATAAATCTGTCATGATTTGCTGTTAAAGTGAAAGTCAGAGGAGAAATAAGATGTTCTTCCTCTTATAAATAAAAAGCACTGGGCCTCAAATCAGTACTCTCACAGGACCTTTGTCGACACAACCTTTCTTGGTCTGGTACTGAGCAGTAGCATATGGTGGCTAATGTTAGCTAACTTTAGTGTGCAGTGGTCCTTATGATATTGAGTGTGTTCACTGACTTGATGACTCCTCTCTCCTCGCGCTACTGTTACATTATGTTTTAGCTTTCACCGCTATCTTGTAATTGTCACTGGAGGCCACAGTGGCTGCTGTTAAACAAAATTAACTTTAAGATGGATTTGGTCTTGACTGAGCCCATAAGTGATCAGCTCTAAATTCAAGTATGGCTGCAGACAAAAGGTACTGACAACACAGTGTGATGCCATCCCTCAAGGTTTATTCAGGGGTGTTCAGGAACACACTCCATATGAGGTGTAGATCCAATCCAAAGCCTTTTCACACATTAATATATAATATTACTGGTTTCAACAGGCTGTTAAAGTGATAGCTATTTGGCGTTTTAAACAGGTGACTTATGTAAACGTTGCTCACTGGTTTTATTCTGATATGATAGGACATTCATTGAGAGCATAACGCATACACAATATCTGGTTCCTGAACAAGAGAAAGCGGCAGTGAGTTGAAAAATGCTTACGAGGTGGGAAGAATGTTTGCTCTGTTCTCAAATGCTGCACCAGTGATGGATTTAAACTCATCATCAAATTTACATACAATTGTTCGTGTTGGAAAGGGGCTCAAATGTGTCCCTGTTCACATCGATCATCAAATTTGGTGATCTTTCAGATAAATTGCTGACACAGACACAGACACAGACAAATACAGTATGAACTTGCAAAATCCCTCTCTCACTATGCAGCCTGAGAGGACAGACAAAAGACCCTCGATCCACACGGTGTCGCCAGTTGTGAACTGGTTATTCTGTGTCCATACCTGTGGAATCTGGATGCAGCCTGTAGATTTGTGCTTGACTGAGAGCCATCATCCTCGTCCCCTTCTGTCTCGCTGTCTTCAGAGTCATCCTGTCTCCATCAGGGAGGAACACAAAGTGAGCCATCTGATGACAAATCTTTGAATCTGCAGATAGTTATTGGCCTCTGCATGCAAATCAACGCCCACCTCTTGCTCCGACTCTGTGCCAGACAACTTCTTGTCCTTCCCTTTGGAGCCTGCCCCTCCATTCTTGCGCCCAGATCCTGGTTTTCGACCCCTGGAGAAGAAAACAAAAGAAAAGTTATGCAATGACATATGAAGGTAATTATTCTCTCAGCTTTTAACTAGAATTACTGCCTCGCTGTTGCATGCCTTCACTATGCAATCAAGTTGCGGTTTACATCAATGTCTGTCCAGAATCATCCAACAATGTAGTGAAGAGTTTGAAGGAATTTAATAAAAGGTATTAAGTGTATTTTTTGATTTGTGATATAGGAATGTATAAATAAAATTAATTTGACTCTACTTTGTTAAGATGTGTTGTTCTTGTTCTGCTGTACATCTGTTGCATTAGTGTGTAAGTTCATTGAGAAAAAAAAAAAAGAGTCAAATTCCTTGTATGTGTTAATATACCTGACCAATAATCAAATATGGATGTTGCTGTTAAATAATGGCCAGAAAGATTTCTTTGGCAGAACATTATGATGTCACAGTGAAGTTGACCTTTGACTTCTTGGATATAAAATATCATCAGAGATTTGTGTGAAATTTTGTCATAATTAGTGTATGAATTCTTGAGGTCACACTGGCCTTGACCTTTGACCACCAAATTTGAATCAGTTCATCCTTGAGTCCAAGCGGATGTTTATGCCGGATGTAATCAAATCAAATCATCCCTCCTAGCATTCCAGATGTATCACACTCACAAGAATGGGACGAACGTGAGGTGATGGTGACCTTGACCTTTGACCACCAAATTTTTAAATAGTTCATCCTTGAATTTAAGAGAACGTTTGTTCCAAATTTGAAGAAATTCACTCAAGGCGTTACTGAGATATCATATTCACGAGAATGGGACAGAGTTACGCACATACGGACGTAATAAAAAGGGGAAAGAATATTTTTGAAAGATGTGACTCTTGGTCGTGCTACAAGATTCTACATAAATTCTTTGATCTGTGTCGACCAGATTTAATGACTGGTCTGTTTGCTGTGTCTGGTCTGAAAACGGCTCACAAAGGCAAACAACTAATCACACTCTTTTTGTCATTTAAAAACAATTTGTTTCCATGAAGAATAATTCATTTTTCTGCTCTTCATGAATTAATATTGCACTTACAACTGTAAACCAATTTCAAATATTTTATTTTAAACAAAAAAAAAACAAAAAAAAACATAACTAACCACATTTTAAAAGCTTATAAAACATTTAAAAAAATTAGAAAGTCATTCTACAGCATAAATCTGCAAGACAGTTGTGCCCAAATCGAACATTAAAATCAGTAGAGATAACTTCAAAGGCGAGAATAATGTGACCAATACTGCTGGTGGAAATTTGTTGGAGTCATTTATATTCAAAGATGCTGTGACGCCACATGCCTCATCCCCAAAGCCAAGCAGCTTACAACCACTTTAAATTGTATCAGAATCGAATCAGCCACACTGTTCAGTGAAAAGAAGACTTTTTACTCATTTATGTGTAACTCTGTGCCAGACTCCGCAGCAATTTAGCTGCAGAGCCACTGTTTGATTTGACAGTCAATACGGCTTTCTCTTCTCTACAATCCTCAATAATTAGTTCTCCCCTCTGTGAAGCCGATATGTGAATGTGCCTTTTTCTTTTTGGTTTCTGTTAATGATATAATAACAAAACAAAATGAAATAAGTAATATGGTAACATTGCAAAAATGACTAACACATTATTTTTAGTCCATTTCAATTTACAGTAGTAGGTGTTGGGTAACTGGCCTTGTGTCCATGTAAAGATAATCAAGTCATAAACCAGATTAATGAGACAAACTTAGCTGCATGATGCAGTGACTAAGCATGGCACACATCATGTGTATGGGAAACGCAGACCAGAGCTTAATGGTGTCAACTTTGTTGTGTTTGACTGTTTATTCCTTGGTAGTCATGGCTACTAACATGTCGGTGTGTGTTTGAGTGTGAGTGATACCTGCGAGGGACTTTTTCTCCTCCCCCCTCTGTGTGGTTCTCTTCCCCCTCTCCCTGCATGTCCGGCACAGTTGCCACCAGGTCTTTTAAGAAATCAAACTGTTGCTCCAGTTCAATACACTGTTTTCTGTGAACATACATACACACACACTTTTTAAATCAGGCTATTGCCTCCTCTACAGACTTAAGACACACTCAGAGCCGAGCAAAATGTCCACTTCATATCAAATAGAAAAAGAGATAAAATGGAATTATATATTAATTTCAAGTCACACAGTAAGATTCTCTTGGCAGATACATCTTAGTCATTGCTAGAAATACTTTAAGATACAAGGGATTTAATTTGGCAGTGTGTTGCAAATCCACTCAGCAGCACTATGTAACAGTAGCATGGGTATGTCTTTATTTAAATCCCAAAGGAAATGAAGACATAACACCTTTTCAGCTACATTATTACACAAAATACAATTTTAATGTGATGTGCTGTTATTATCCAGCTGTCTGAATTCACATCTGTGGTATGTCAGTCAGATTGAATTGAACAGAGGACATCCAAAGAAGTCGAACTCCAACACAGTGCAATATGAACCAGGTTCTTTATCAAGACACACACAAACACAGAAACTTACAAATGTGACGTTGTCATCGTCTTTGCATTCCTGGACTGGGTGACTTGACAGGCCTTTGTAAGCAACGATTCCAAAAACAGCTCCAAGGCTCTCGCTGATGTCTCAGTTAAGGAAAGTATGATATAGCAGGTCTATGTCCTTCATTACAATGAACAGATTCACTTGCATGGTCTAACTTACGTTGTTACTGCACGGAGCCTGAAAACTTTCAAATCTGAAAATGAAAAACATGAACAGCTTGCTTGGGTTTAGCGAGCAGATTGTGACACAATCATTACAATGATAGTATTGATACGACAAAAATAACTTCCTACTGCCAATGCCTATTATTTGAAATACTACGTGACAGAGTGCCACTCCACTATTTATACTAAATACTGAGTCAGACAAGGGGTAAAAATTTTTTTCATCAGTTAACCTATCATTTATTTTTAAGATTATCCATTAATCTATAAAATGTAATTAAATAAATGCCCATCATATGCTCCCTAAGAGATGTCTTCATGTTGCTTCATGTTAAAATACAGACAAAACAATAAATCTTCATATTTTCTCTCTCAAATTTCTGTTGATCAACTGATTTATCAAATCATTATTTTAACTCCAAGTCAGACCATTAGTTTAAACACCCATGACTGAATGAAGAGTGTAATTTATACAAATCTAACACCCCTCTGCATTCAAACCTCTCATGCAGATGATCCAGACCAAGGAGCTGTGAAGATATTTGGCAGGAAGGATACAAATAATAACGGGTACTGCTGCAGCCACTTTGCCTATTTCTTCGTCTGTCTGCATAATCTTCTTAATCCTCGCCTGTAATGACAAAAGGTTTAACTTTAAGTGTTTGCGCACACTGAGTCAGTACGTGTAAATACGGTGACACCGTTTCACGATTTTTATTCTAAACAGACTTGGATACAACTTTCTGTTTATCAAAACTAAAGGCCCGTTCACAACAATGTTAGCAAACTACATCGTAAGGGGACTAGCACAGCATGCATGTTTAAACCCGTTCATTCCCGTCAGGATAATGAGACTTATCATAGCGTATTCCCTATGATAATCTACAAAGTTTGCTCGTTGTGCAGCTACAAACAACGTCCAGTTTCACTTAGCTTGCCATGCTAAAAACAACGTTATTTAGTAGGGTAGGTAGCTAACATACGTCGCATACCTTAAATATACTGTAGCAAACACTGGGATGCAAGGAAAGTTGGCCTATTCAATGAAAGTGGTAACACTGGTATAATGCAATGTTACTTCTCACCAATGCAATTAAGATTTAGTGGTGAACTACTTCTGTTTGATGATTTGCTTGTTAGCTCTATAAGCAACAAAACAGGCCGAATCTCACTCAAGATAGCTAGACAAGTTAGCTTTGTATCGTACAGTTTGCTAACGTTAGCTAATCTTAACACCGGTCCAGACCGTCATAAACTTACCGGAGGGAATCTGGCGTTGTATTTCTTCTTTTTGCTGGGCATAATTAAATTACGTGGATGGCTAGCCTAAAAATAAAATACAGTATATGCTGGATTATTACTCTATATCATATGTAATTCACCTCCACCGCGCACACACCAGATAGCGGTAGCTAGCCGGCTAACTCGTTAGCACGTCGTCGTCAGTCGTTCCCTGTTGCCTGGCAGGTCAGTTTAGTTCCGCAGGGTCCCAGCGCCCTCATTTTGGAGCACACTAGGAATATAATGTAGTTCAAATGATGTTAATTCTGAGCCATTAGTGTAGCGTAAGATATATTTGACAGATACACAACAGAAAAACTAACAACCTGCACATTTGTGGACATTTTTGTACGCACCCAGAGAAACCTGGTATATTGTCATTTGTCGTTGTATTACTGCGTTGTTGAATTCAGTACATTATCCGCTTAAATTGTTAAATAAAACTACTGTTATACCAGGAGTGTATTGTATTTTTTAACAACACAGTTGTACTGCTTTCTTTGTGTGATGAATGTATATAAAGCCCGAGCCGTTTCCGTGGTATGTGATTTAGTGGATAGACGGTATTAGTTAATCTGCCAGTCATTTGAATGGAGATTGTCATATCGCCCTTTGATACAGAGCGGACCATATACCATCGGGGCTGTGCTTGTACGGAAGAACAACAGTGGACAACAAATTTGAACATCTGCAGGTATGTTAAGCCTTAATATCTATTGTTTCCGATGAAAGTTCGATCATTTCTATCGTCCACAAGCAAATATGCGTGTTAATACATTAGTTGTGTTCAAAAGTCAGCTGTAAATAATCTTGGTCCAAATTCAAGAAGACGAACATGGACGATTGGTAAAATGGCTAAGCAGCTGGTTAGCTACAATAAGACTGGAACCAAGCAAACAGAACTACTTTTTCAGTGTTTAGTCACATGTCCACTGTAGATGATGCACAAACGCAAAGAATAACATCTTATATTTTGTAAGAGAATCGGATGTGTATAAACGTTAGCTGTTGAACAAGTGTTGCTAATGTAGCAGGCTAGCTAGCAGCATTAGTAAACATCCGCAGGCAACCCATCTGTCCAATTGTTTGGGGGTACCATAAATGAACAGAGAGGCTGCACTTTTCATTTTTCAATTTTAATTTACAACACCTTCGTTTCAACAGGACAAGATCCAGCACTTTAATAGCCTCACACTGGCAGTATTATGGAGGAGGAAGAGGCCCCTGTCGACGGCGAGGTGGAGACCCCCTTTGCTGCAGAGACCTATGCCGCTGAGGCCATGGCTGCAGACATGGACCCTTGGATAGTGTTTGACTCGAGACGAACTCCCAGATCTGAGTTTGACGGCTGGCTGGAGAGCAACAGGCCCTCACAAGTGCACAGATTTGGTGATGAGGATGGTGGTGTCAGCCCTGTGGGGTGGATTGCTGTGCTGGGCCCGACCCACTGCCCCAGTGGTGCTGATGTTATGGGTCTTCAGGAGAGCTGGGAGAAGCTTCTGGCCAGTGGCCGGCCTGTCAGCTTCCAGACAGTGAAGGAGCTGGCCCTGAACCACGGGGTGCTCACGGGCAAGTGGCTGATGCACTTGGATTCTGGTTTTAAGTTGGACCATGCATGGGAATGTGTGGCCAGAGCAGCCCTGGATGGCAAAGTCTCCCTAGTTAAAGTCAGTCCCTATGACCCCAAGGCAGACGGTAAGCAGGTCATTTGTGCCTATAACCAGAACTTCACTGATGAGAGCGAGGTTGTAAGGCTGGACTCTGTCATCCGTGCCACAGGGGTCAAGTGCCCTCTCTCCTATAAGCCGGATGTGTACACATACCTGGGAATCTACCGAAACAACCGCTGGAAGCTTTGTCCGACCATATATGAGAGCAAATTTGACCTGGAGTGTGTACCGAGGCGTTCCCACATTGTAAACAAAGTCACCAATCTTGAAGTAACATAAAGAGCAAGAGGATAGTTTTGTAGGATGAGTGAATGAAGAGGCACTTAGTGATCCCATGAGTTGGGTTGTGCAGTATGACTTTCTGATTGAAATTGTTTTGAGAGTCAGTGGTTGGATTTTGATCTCATATTTTTCCTTTTGGCAAAAAAGCACAAAATCTCATTTCAGTTGTCTTCTCTCGCTGTAATATTTTCTAAGTCACCTGAAAATAGTCACCTTTTTTGTATTGAATATATTGTATTCATAAGTGAGAATATTTGTATTGTTGAGGTTCTGTTTGTAACACACTTACCCGATCGATAGGGTGGCTAAAGAAATCCTTGATTTGTATGCACATCGTCAGGGGAAAATTTGCATCCAATGAAGCATTTCTGTTTGATTTTGATACATTTGTCATTTTTTGACTTTACCTTTTGCTTACAGAGTTGCCAAATAAAATCTACTTTTGAAGACCTTTATTTTTATGCAGTTTCTTTTTTTATTGCCAAGAAAAGTGTTTTTTAGATTTTGACAGAATTCATCATTCATGACAGAGAAAAATTGCTTATAGTACAATCTGCTTACATCATCCTAGTATAAAACCACATAATGCCATCTCAATAAAGCAAATTAGCAAGTTGACCTACAGGTCTAAAACTGTTGAGTTAAATGGTAGCCATATGGATAAAATAACTGGAAAAACTGGTTAGAGACCAGAGGAAGACCTGATACAGCTCTGTGAGTGTGATGCATGAACTTTTGTACTCTTCTGTGCTATAAGCATGTACTTATTAATGTTGCTTGTTTGATAATTATTTACATATAGACCTTCATTTGGCTCTTAAAACATTACTACCATAGTATTTTGCTGAGAGGCACCTGTGTACAGACAGTGGTTATAGTTACTGCCAACAGTCAGAAAACATTCTATTCAGTTACAAAGTACTACATGGGGATATTTAATTAAATGACAATAGGTATTATTTGCATTGACTTGCCTCTAGGTTGGATTAAATTCTATATACCAGCTGCTTTGTTTAAAATAAAAAAGCAGACTAAACAGCATTTTAATTAGAGACAGTGATTATCACATTAACACTGATCAGCTCTACCAGAATTGTTACAAGGACAGTAAAAACATGCTTAACATGTTACAGGGAAACATCTTAACAGATGCCATCAGCAAGTGATCTTATCTGATCTGATTGTCTTTTTCAAACAAACATTTGTGGTGAATCCATCTTCCACCATTGTGTTGACACTGGCTGAAACAGTAAATGATTGATGCTAAACAAAGAAAGAAATCTGATTATGTTCTGTCCTGTGTTTTATCATTTGTCAGACAAACTGTATATGAAGCCTGGCAAACCCATTAATTGAATACCATAAAATGTCTTTGCTGGTATTTCAAAAAGCAAGTCCACAGTGAACAGTTCTGCTACATTCAGTCTCCTCCAGCCCTTCATGTCCACCTTGTTTCCTTTCTGTCCTTGGTAATAAAAAAGGATTTTTAGTTCTGATGGCAAAGTGGGCAGCACACATGGTCTATGTCAATGTGTCTGTAAAAAAAAAAAAAAAAAAAAAAAAAAAAAAATCACATGGACAAACTTTAAGTCTGGTGTCCTGACACAAACCCAGCTTGGCTTTCGCTGTTAAAAATGGAAATAAGACGATCCTCGTCAGCAGACATCAACTCATCAAACTCATCCAGCACAGGGGCCTGGTGGTTGTTGTTGTTGGATGCCATGATAATCATGCCCTCGTTCTGGAGCAAGTTGACAATGCTGTTGGGGTAATTCATCCAGGTGCTACCTGGTTGGCTGGCAGGGTCAGAAGTGTTCTGGGATACTGTGTTCTGGGCAGCAGCGGAGGAGCTGGGAGGGGCGGCTTGTTGACATGAAGCTTGGGCCAACATTGAGGCGCCATTTCCAGCCTCGCTGATGAGGCGGGGGTTCAGAAGGTCCTCAAAGTCATCCATGTTTAGGCTGTCCAGGGTACCTGGGGCCTGGGCTTCAGGAAAGATAGGGAATTCTGGGATATCATCATCATCAACCCGGAACTGAGGGGCCTGGAGGGTGAAGGAGCTGCTGGCCTGAGAGGAGACAGTGGTCCCATGAGAAGGTGTGGGCTCCTGGGCCATGGCTGAGGAAATGTTGGGGAAGAATTCATGAAGGTCTGACAGGTTGACAGTGGAGAAGTCCTGGTTGGCAGTGGAGGTGGTTGTAGAGGAGGAAGAGGAGGAAGATGGCGCCTGACTTATTGTGAAGTTGGCCACTGGAGTGGCTTTGGGCTGGGGGCCCAGGTTCAGGCTCTCCATGATTTTCCATGTTTGGTTTTTAGTCTCAGCTGAGCTGGAGGGAGAGGCCTCTACCTTGGGCTGGATGGAGAAGAGCTGGCTTGGCTGATATGAGTATGAAGCCTGGGGTTTCACTGCACTGGCAACAGGGGGCACCACAGCTGCTGAATACACACAGATAGACAAGCAAGTTGAGTTCTACTACTCAAAATCTCATCTCTGTAGTATAACATATTTTGTCTGACTAACACTCTAAAACTCACAAATATTAATATACATATATATATATATATATATATATATACCCTTAGAATGGAGAAGCTGAAACCAGACAATGTTTGACATTTCTGCCTGGTAAATGACTTAAACAACTGAATATCACAATAGTTGCCAACTAATTTTCTGTCAATTAACAATTTAATTAATCAATTTTTAGGTCTGAGCCCATCTGAGCAGGGATTGAAAAGGATCTCCATATGTGACATCAACAATGTAAACAGACTCACCAGCTTGTGGGTTCATTGATGGAGGCTTGGCTGTGACTGTTCTCCTTGCTGGGCTTATGTGCCGTCTATCTTGTGGAATGGACACTGAAATTGTAATAGATATGATTATATTACATTGCAACTGAAAAAAATACTATTGCCTTTTACCTCATTATATTATGGCAGACAAACAAATCTCATTAACGTACCACTAGACAGCATGGGTCCCAGCTTGAGGCTCTGGAACATGTCTCCTGTACGTTTTCTCTTCTCACTCAGTCTGTATTCATCTACAGGGGACATTTTTAAAATGCAGTTATAAGACCCAGTTTGGATAGTTAATAAACAAATTCAAGTATCAATTGGAAGCATGAGAACATCGCCTCCTACCTGGGTCAGAGGGCAGGTACTGGAAGTCCATTGGCTCACTGACCTCGCGGTCAGATGGCCGGCGGAGCTGCATCTTGACTCTAATGGGCTCAGTGAGATTAGTGTCGCGGTAGGGCGGTGTACGGAACACAATGGCCACCTGCCTGTGGACATCGGCCTGTGAGAAAGTGCCCTTTCCCTCCCAGGAGTCCTGGAAGAAACGCACCTCAATGTCCTCTGTAGGGAAACAGAAAATGGAAGTATAAGATACTAAACTGACTTCAAAGAGGAATCAAAATCAGACACTGAGTCATTTCAGCTCTGAGGTTTACCATTGACAGAGCACAAGAGCTCCAAGTCCCTGAAGTGTTGCATCACCTTTGCTGCTATGCTACACAAAGTCTGACGAGAGCTTACAAACCGTGTAATTAGCTTCAGCTGTTAAACTTCATGTAGGAAGAGGCTTAATGTTTAAATGACAATGTAATGGCTCCACTTGTTGTGAGAACGGCTACATGACGTTCTCCTGGAAAGATGAGGACAAAGAGTTTCATGATCTAGTCTATGCAGGCTTCACAGGCTGTTTTCACACTGATGCAATGTGCATCTCAGGCTAAGTGTCCCACAGCTCCAATTTCTAAAATACGAAGAACATGGTTTATTGCATGCGCGCCTGCCATGATCAAACTGCTGCAAACAACGCAGGGAAAAGACTGATAATGATCAAATGTTTTTGTTTGTGTTAATTAGGTAATTAATTAGGTAAAAGATAATGCAAAGAAACCAAAAAAGATGAAGCGATAAAATTTTCACAAGGAGCAGGGAAAGTGAAAGTTTAAAGAGTTGGGTTCTATATCAGCAGCACAGCACCACGCTGATGTGAATCCTATGGTATACTTCAAAAACTTTACATTTTTTCAAGGAAAATCATGAAGGTGTTTTCATATTCTGTACATGAACACCAGAAGCAGAGACAGTTAAGCAGTCACTAAACACACTGGTGATTTATTTAAGAAAAAAAAAAAGAAAAATGAGAACTGGATCTACAATTTGAGGAAGAAAGCTTTTGGATTTTGTGATAAAGGTTACTCAGTGATAACATGGCTGATTTGCAGTGCAAGTGCAGTGACAGGCAAGAAAACCTCACATGTGCAACAATAGTGGTGGCCCAAAATACCAGTGCACACAGGTTGTATGCAAAAGCAGAGTTTTTTTAGGATGCATACTTAAAGCTGTGCTGCTTTTTTTGTTTTGGTGGGAGGCCTACAGGATCGAGCTGAAAATGCAAAATAGACCTTATAAAGCTTCATTAGCAACATTAGCATTAATTTGGAGTCATGTCTCTGGCCACCTTCATGAATTTAAGTCTAATATTCACTGTCTCTTTAGTTGTGTTTTGGCCTCTTGTGAAACATATCTGGCTCTTGCGTTTGAGCTCTAAATACTCTACTGCTTTCACTTGTTATCTGCTAATATTGTCTGTCTGCCATTGGGTGCTGAGCAGGTAGACCACAGTGGTCCATTTTCAGGAGCTTTTTGACTGAAAGCACTCACTACTGTGGCAGGAAATGAGGTTGCAGGCAGGAAAACCAAAACAATGAGCTAGAATAGGCTAAAGCTCTCACTACTGCTGCAGGCTTGGTTTATAATTTTAATTCTTGATACATTATTCACATATAAATATTGATTAGTGCTTCAACATCAATTTGAGGGGTGAGGAGTAGTGACTGGTGAATAAGGTAATCGCTGCATAGTAAAAATAAATACTGTATTAGGTGTAACTTAATGACTAAAAACAAGCATTTGCTAACCTACAAGCCTCAGTATGACTTGTTAACAGTGTCTGTAATGTTGCATTTTAATATGAGATTTACTTCTCTGCGGTGTCAAGGGAAAGTAGGCGAACAATCCTTCTGTTAATAAGAGATTGGTGTAATCAGTTTTTGTGTATGTTGGCTAACAATCCTTTTTATTAAATCAATGCCCTAAGTCATTAGCTGTGTTACTCATATTTCCTTCTATTCAACTGCACTTCTAAAGAAGGAAATTGGACTATGACTGTGTAATTTATGAGGTTATCTTTTCTATCATCTACAAGGAAAGAACATAGAAACTCTGTGTAACAATGAACCTGCATTTCACGCTCACTTACTCAAAAAGAGCCAGTCTATTGTCAGTATAATATCTCACTTTTGTATCTGGGTGGGTGTGATGGGTTTACACCTTCACTGCTCTGACTGATTGCAAGCTTTACAAACACCTCAGTCAGTTCTGAGATCTATTTATGGATTGTTAAATATGAAAGTAAAGGTTCAGAGTTATGAACAAACTTCCTGTGCTGCACGGGGCTGTTGTTCATACCGGGACACAGTGGCAGAATAAAATGAAAGACCATTGTACAGTACAGGCATAGTGTACCTTTTTGCACTTTGTCACACAGCAGAAAGATTTCATCCCCTCCCTTGCAGCTTCCAGAGTTGCGGTTGACTCGGCAGATCTTCAGCTCAGCTGTGTTTGGGGCCCCTGCCACACGGAACAAGCGTGAACAAATAAACCAGAGCTAGCGATTAATACCAGACACAGGTCAATCATGCAAAATTCTGTTCTTTGCTCTGTAAAATAGTGAACTCGAAATCTTTTGACAGACAAACACAATTAAATACCCGCCTTTACAGATTGTATATATATATATATTTTTTTATTTAATCTTGATTCCTCTACAGGGAAGCAAAAAGCTAATTTCTAAAACCATCTACTTACTTTACTCAAAACTACTGCTCATTATGAAAAACTCAGCTTACTTTAATTCAAATAGTGAATGTCACATTTCAAAAGTGTGGGCAAACTCATATGGAGACACAGTGGTCAAAGAAGTGCTCAGATCTTATTCTGAAGCACACACCCCCTACACTGGGAAAGTACTCCACTACAATAAATATGTACAAGTACCTCAAATTTGTACTTAAGTACAGTATTTGAGTAAATTTACTTTGTTACATTTACATCTTTGAGACAATTATTTATATTGACGATTTATAGCAACTGTACATATTAGCATTAGCACTGTGGAGACTGCTAACTTTTGGTGCAACAAATCTGAATAATCTAGAAAGAGCAACAATCGTGGAGATTGAAAAACAAAAATAACTAAAAACAATTTTTGTTTGTGCAAAACATATGGAGATGTCTTGGTGACACATGCACAATAAATCAATAAATCTGAACGAGAATGTACAGAAAATTTCAAAATGTTTTGTTGATGTTTCATGTCGTCATGACATTTCAATAAATGTAAGTGTTGTAAAAATAATATTTAGACAATGATTTATCCCCAAGAAATCGATTTTAAAAAAGATTCTCTAACTGTATCTGTATTTTGAAAGGTTTTGAGTTTTTAAAAAAAGTCTGTCAGAAGATATTGACGAGCACACTATTGATATTAATATTAATGTTAAAAAGTTGCCATCAATTCAACTTTAACATACAGTATATTAAGATATGTGTATGTATATGTGTTTTCCGCTCACTGTTGTCATAAATGGGCTGTGATACCACCGGCTCCAGAGGAAACAGCTCCCCTGTAGGCAGAGTGATGGAGGCCTGGAAGCAAAGCCGCACTGAATTCAGGTCAAACTCTTCCTCCCACACCTTCGCCTCAGGAACTGCAGCCAAGAAAAAGCAGAGTTAGGGTGGGGTGGACAAACAGGCAACACAGCAGTCTGGCAGAGCACTGCATCCTGTCATATGTAGGCTATCTGTATTTTAGTATCAAAGCAGGGTGAAAGGAGCAGATTAAACTTCCTCTTGATGTTGTTATTGTAACTCCCAATAAACCTTTTTTAAACTAGTTATACAACCACAGCGGTCACGAATACGAACATGTAGTTTACTTATTCCACACAGGAGAGTGGATTAGTAAAATTTCTCTCTCCATCAGAAATAAAGTGTATTACTGTTAATACTATTTACTGAAATAAACAGTGTCTCTCTTCACGCCTCTGTGGTGCTTGAGGACGCACAGCGGGCAGCAGCAGCTACTTCTCATCTGTTTTCTTATTCTTATTCTTCCTATTCTTATTAATAGGAATAACGGTAAATGAAAGCTAAAGCTAAAGTGCTTTATAAATTTTGCACACTATGTGAGAGAAAGAGAGATAGTTAAAAGTTGGAGGTTTGCTGGTCGTGTGCAGGTGGATGATTAATACATATGTTTGTGGGTTGGTCAGTGCGAGTGTGGGTAGCAAAAAAAACCCTAACCCACACATGACTAGTGGCTATCACAGCTAATGCTACCTACCCAGTTAGCTATTTCTTAACCCAGCAAAGATAAACATTATACTAGCTACAGGTTGAAATACAAATGTGTTGTATAAACAGGAAGATAAAGATATAGATATCACACTCCCCATAAAATATACAGTAGCTAGCTTAATGTTAGCCACAAAGTTAGCTAAAAACCTATCCAGGTACAGTATTTTACCATTGTTTTGCATAAGAGCAGCCATTTTCAAGCTAGTTCGTTAGCCTCGCAAGATGATTTACGCTAACAAAAAATGTTATTGCAAAGTTATCAGCATTTGAAGTAATTTTTCGGGAGAATGGGCATTTTTAGTTTTTTCAAGCAGATGAAATGATGACATTAATTTCAGATTGACACATTAAAGTCTTTTGGTTTTGGAATTTTAAATGGCATTACATTTAACAAAGCGCGTTTGTGCTGGAAATATCTGTTCTAGTTGAGAAAACTCCAGCAAAATAAAAGACTTACATTTGAGTGGGACATTTGGGGACAATAACTTTTTACACAATGACAGATTTAACAGAAGAAGGGCAACGACACAGAAAGCTCTTTGTGTTTTACACTCATCTTTAACCATGACTACTTACTGTTGAAGGGGTTGTTATTTGTCTGCAGCCTGCAAGTGATAGCCTCATTCACATCCTTCTTCTTCACACACTGTATGCCCAGGTTCTGAAAACTGAAAGAGGAAGAAAAGAACTGCTGTAGTATTTAATACTATGAGTTCTTTTGCATTTATGATTCTTTTTACTGGAACAACACATAACTGTGGCTATACAATTTACAGTTTACACATACCATGGTCCATTAACCCAAGTTTTAATCTGCTTTGGACATTTCTGCTCTCATAAAAGCCACATTTAAAAATAATAATGCATCATCATTATGGATCACTGACCACATCCTAAGCTCAGAGGACAGCTGAGGGGAGTAGGGTGGAAGTGGAAAAATACTGGACTTCAAGTGCACTTCCAATAAATTAATATTTTTTAGACATCAGTTACTATAATAAGCTTGTTAACAATGTAAAAGTGTGATACATTTAAGATGTTTTTCTCTGGGGTTAACCTCTGCCTTGGCACACCGGTAGTCACCTTTTAAACTCACTTAGAGTGAATTACTTAAACTCTTTTTTATAAAGATTTTATCTTTTTTAACTGACATTTTATTTGATCATAATTCATCTATTAGTTCCACTGCTTTCACTCCTTTTTTCATTTCTTGCCTGGATCCTCGAATTGCGTAGTCACAAGTGGATGTTGTATTATCTCATGTTTCCTAAATTCTTTTGGTAGGTATGTATTGTAGCTGTTCCTAGTCTGATAATAAAAGTGAACACCTCCCTTCATACTGGCTGAATTCCTGACAGTTTCAAAAGAGTGTCCACTGATTACTCAAAAAAAAAAAAAAAAAGGCTTAGATCCTTCCATCTACAATGATCAGAGATCTGTTTCCACACTGCCATGTATTGCAACAGTCTTTTAAATATCATTATAAACTACACATTCTGGCAGCCATGGCAGATTATCTTATTTTCAAAGAATTTCAATCAAGCTTTGGAGCACTCGTCAAATTGTTATGTTCACTTCTTCTTCTACAATGTTACAATATTACAATATTGTAAATATCACAGTATATTAGATAACTGTTAGGCTGATATGAGTATAAGCATTTATTTAGCAAAACTCAAATTATCCATCTACATTATGATGTCTAATAGAAATCTTTCTGGTTCAGACTCCTGTCAGCCTACAACTGCAGATTAACTGCTGTATCACTCTACTCTACCTCTGCTTTTATCACAATATCAATATTTTTAAGTGACTCAATATAAACTTGTACACTTACTCACCCTGTATCACAACACTGGCAGTGAACTGCAGCACATGCAGTTTGTTTGAATTTCATCACACTTGTGATGAAGATAGATAAACAAAATTCTCTTTAGCCAAACGGACTGGTGCAATTATGTTACATTAAGTTTAAATATTAAGCAATTAAAGGGATCTGGTCTTATCAGTCGCTGCTGCCTGCCACCATTTTTACTTCCCTACTACTATTTCCTACTGTTTTAAAGTGCAGCTGAAAGAAATCAAAGTCTGCAGAGGCAAACTCAGCCTGTCATTGGGCAGTTTATGCTGTTAATGTTTTACTCAACTCCAAACCCAAGATGAAGCCGGCAACAGTGAACACGTCATCTCCCACAAATAATGAAGGTCTTTTCTAGGTCAGTGTCAAACAAATACCAAATACAGTTTCTCCCGAGGCAGTTCAGTGTAATTTTGAAACACAGGCATGAAGTTGCAACAAATTCCCCACATTTCTCTAAAGTGTGTGAAAAGAACAACGCTTACCTGTGTATTCTTCTCTCCTGCAGGTCGGCCTCGTAGTAGCCATGTTTGCAGTCCTTCCCAACAAGTTCATGGGGGTGAGGCTTGTGCGGTGCGTTCTTTGTTACCAGTGAAATACGAACACGCAAGGGGCCGCTGTAATTGTGCACCTGATGGAGGAAATGTGTCATACTTTAATGATTTGAAAAGATATTTTTTAGATGGATGGATACTTGCTTGCAATCGTCTGGCATCCTGGTTGTTCCACACTTCTTCTATATAAGAATGATGGCGGCCACACTTCTCATGGCGGCCACACTTCTCATGGTTTTTGCTCTGTTATGCATTCACCTTACATAGAGGTGTGTGTGCTTCTGATTGAATTGACCACAGGTGGACTCCAACCAAGGTGCAGAAACCTCTCAAAGATGATAAAGAGAAATGGGAGGAACCCGAGCTAAATTTCAAATGTCATAGCAAAGTGTCTAAATATTTATGTCAATGTGAAATTTCAATTTTTCCTTTATAATAAATTTGCAACAATTTCTAAAATTAATTTGTTTTCAATTTGTAACTATGGTGTCTTGAGTGTAGATTGAAGTGGGAAAACGTAAAGGGTCTGAATACTTTCCGAATGCACTATACCCTATAGCAACTGCATATTTTATCATGCTTTAGCACATGCCTTGATCTATTTTGGATAAATCTATCTAAAGTACGCACATTGGTTTTTGTACCTTTTTTCACAACCGTCCTATTTATGCTAAGTATTTCTATCTCAGTCTAAGTTTTTTGGTTTGTGGCTGGAACAATCTTACATCTAATGATGTTACTCATTGTGTCTATTGCTACCGTGTTTATTTCTGCTGTGATGTCAACATGAACAACATGATAACCTCCTCAAGTTTTGCTATGTTCAGTTATGTTGTGCAAACTCTTGACATTCCTAACAAAGATGTTCCTTTTGCTGCAAGAGTTCATTCAGCCCTGACCTGCCCCCACCAGTGCCTCTAGGTCCACACTAGGTATGCGGACAACTATGTCAGAGTAGTACGGTAAAGTAAAGATGCAGTTTTACATCACCTAATCTACATTAAAAGTTTCACAGCTAGAAGACATGCAGCAAAAAGTTGTGTCCGACTCACCTTGATGGCTGGGTGAGTCTTAGTGGTGTCATTGCTTTTCTCTCCAGGAATGCTGCCGGCTGAGCGTCCTTCACACTTATACCTAAATCTCATCCCCCTCTGCTTTGGCTGCTCAATGATCTCTATGAAGGGGTTCGCTGTTTGGACTGATGCACCGGCAGGAGGAAGAAGAAGAAGAAGAAGAAGAAGAAGAAGAAGAAGAAGAAGAAGAAGAATCTTGCTTAAATGTCACTTTTGGAAATACAAAAGCACGGTGGTCAGATTGTGCAACTGCCCGTCTGCACTGCTTCACCTCTATCAGTTAGTAAACACAGAAATAGCTCTTACATTGATCACCAGTACAGAGAGTGTCGAAATGTTTACTCATGAAAACTCTGTAGTCAATATGAGAACTGATTCATGCATGACATTGATCATTTGCGGGAAATAGCTTCTTACCTGGGTTGAGTGGGGTCATGCCCCATCCATACACACCTGTGGTGGGCAACAAGAAAAGCAAATTTAACCCCCTTAAAAGAAATAGCAGATCACCATGTATAGTAATGACAGACAGGGCACAGTGGCAGCATACATGACAAAAACCAAAAACAGCCTCACAACGTATTTGTGGTTTAGTGAGAGTTTGTCATTTGTGGTGTGGTCTGGGTGGAAAACATCTCAACAGTGCTACGTCCAAAGAGGTCAAGGGACGCTGAGATGCGAGGACTTCCCAGTTAAATATAATTACTCATCATAAACTGCCTGCCATAAGATAAAGAAGAAGACGTGCCGAGTAAAGCAAACAAAGACCGGCAGGATGTAATATCAGTGTCACAATACCCGTCATGTTATGAGAAGCCCCCATTGTGATTGAAGAGCAAGGCAGCACCAGCACTCTAGTTTCAGGTTCCCTGAAGGTTAATGAATTGTTGAGATTCATAGAAACGAGTGAAGTGTGACACATGATCAGGTGATTAGAGCTCCACCCATCACCTAGTAGGACTTGTTCAATTTCAAAGCGTGAGTGGGATGCTTTCCAAGTTGTAACAAGCCTGATTCTCAGTCTAAGACCAAAGCAATACAATGTGGGGAAAAAAACGTTTTGTCCAAACAGTGACAAATGAAAAGAATCACTGTTATAAGTTATATAATGTAAGATTAAACTGAATTATTATGGATCTTAGACTTGGACAAATAATAAATAGTGTGTAATAATTGCACTTTTGACTATTTATTTGAAATATATCCCAGTTTATTCATTGAGACTGGATGTTGTGAAAGTGAAGGTGCCCATAAAAATAACTGAATGTGTTAATATCACAGCTGAAGCATCTGGGACACTTTGAGTCACTTTCACTCTAATTGCCCTGAAAGGCGTTAATGCTTTAACAAGCTTGTCATGCCTGTCACATGCATTGTTGACTTGTTGTAATAGATTTTGTTTTAATGATCCTATCCATGTTCTAGATATAGATAAATCGTGTTTATCAACAAAGTCAATCTCTTGTTAGGTTTTCATCCTAATCAGGCAAAAAAACAATATAAAAACTTGGTATTTATTTATGTATTCTCTTAAAAGCAAAGGAAACTGTGATGTAAAATATACACATGGGCAGATTTTAATCGTACAATGACACTCTTCACTTCGGCATATATTTGCCACAACAACAACCCGTATCTCATCACACTTTGTGCAAAAATATGGTGCGTAATTTCCATAATTTCCATCCACTAAAATTGAGGTGGGCGGTTGCTAGCAGCGTGGGCCGATCGTAACAGGGGAGATTTTTAATTGAAACGAATGCAAGCTGGTGTCTAACATCTTAGCGGAATTGAAGATATTTTTTTCACAATGAGTGACAACTTTTTAAAATGTGATATGTAACTCGTATATGTCCCAGAATAGACAGATAACCGTTAAAATGCCAATTTTTTAAACGAAGTTTGGCATTTCTTGTTGCATGAGGTGGACAAACACATCAGGCCTCTTGGCAGCTCTACACGGTTTGGTTCACCCGTGCCAGATAAGTAAGTCAGCGAAAGAGGAGTAAACATATTAAATCTGACATCAGATAAATTAAGCTAGTGAACGCGCTATTTGTACATTAGCTTACTGTCCGGGAACAGCAGACTCCTCCTGTTAGCAAAACTCAGCGGTAGCGGGGCTTTCCCTTGTGCGCAAAACAACTCCCTGTACAGTTTCACCTCCAGAGTCTGAGTTGGGTAAACAGCTCGAACAAATAAAAACCAGCTCCACTTACCGTCCATGGCTGTGTCTGATTCAGACTTAGGCTTCTCCCGCCACGACCCAGCTTATCTGTTGTTTGGTTGTTGTTGTTTTTTCCAACTAAAAGACGGTGCAAACACGACAGAGGAGACTCTAAAAACTTCTTTACAGGGCTGTTCTGTCGCCTCCTTCGCTCCACCTACAACTGTGTCCAAGACTACTCAGTAAAGCTAAACGCAGGTATGACACATGTTTCCGGTAAGAACAGCGCAAAAAATACAACACCTATTGACGAGCATTATGATGCAACATTATTTTTTGGGGACTTCACTCTGTAGTAGGCTTCATGAAAATGTAACTTCATTGTCTTCATGAAAATGTCTTTCCCACAGTGGGCTATTTATTATTTTTAATTTTTCCCTGTTTTCCATTCATTTAAGTTGCTTATTCATTTGAACAAGTAAACAAGGCAGTTTTAAATAGAAATAGTAAAAAATCGAATTTCAGTTTTTGAATTAGGATATCTTAAGTGTTTTACAATACTGTCATTGTCAAAATATTATTACATCTTTAAACCAAAAAATGTGATTTAAAGATGAATAACAAAACAAAGCCTCTAAATAAAGCTAGTGCACTTCATTTACTAGTTTAAAATTCTACTCAGCTACAATGAATTTTGGTGGTAAAGCTTATATTTGAGTACTGTACCACACGTTTTCCACTAAAATATGCAGAATAATGGTAATGAAACTGTTCAGGAAATGGCAAAAATATTTCTATAACCAAAAAATCTTAATTCTACAAATATTTAAAAGTAAAAATGTAATTGTACCATTTAAAAACAATACATGATGAAACACTGAGTCTTCTTTGAAAACAAATTAGTACTTCGACAGTGCATTTCATGATTTGTGTATAAACTTCACTCCATGTGAATATTTGGGATCTCGTTTCTTTGTGACTTTTTCTTTATTAATAATAATGATAATATTTTATTTAAGTAATAATAAAGGCCAATTTGTCACATATTTTAGGTAATATGGTCATTAAAAATTATGCTATTATTTTGAAGAGAAGTCGTCTGTTTCCGGTGTTATCCTCGGCTAGCTTGACAAGGTGAACCCGCTTTTCCTCTGCATTGCAACTTGCCACCACCCACTCAAAACAGTGCGGAAATACCCAGATGACGGACTTGAAAGGAACAGAAAAGTAAGTTGTGAGTGGGAGAGGCAATAACATAACTTCTGGCTTTAGTCATAACCTGGAAGAGAGTTTTAGACCGGATCCATCTCAGTCTCTGCCAGTAGTTTATTCTCAGGGTTTTTCTGCTGTAAACAGACTCGTTAATGAAAAACATCTACTTGTAATAATCCTTTTTTTTAATGTTTTTATGACAATTTTTATTATTGACCCATACTACAAGTTTCCAATCAGCTGGTGTAAAAACCACAGTTACAGGCTTTAACACTGGCAAGACAGTTACAGCATTATTCGTTCATTATTTCATTTGTTCGACTGAGGACAATGTAATTCTTCTATTATTTAATCACGAAATAATCATAAAAAACAGTTTATTTGAGAAATGTATATATATACATATTCTGGCCAGGAGAGAGCGCTGCCGGTGAATAAATCAGGATCTGCTGTCTGAGCATTTGTCCTTTCATATTTAGTGACTAGCCCTTAATCACGCTTCTCTTGTGTTAACTTTCCCACCGTTTTCTTCATTTCATATTCACTTATGTTGACAAAACTGTGTTATGAAAACATTCATGTCTGCACAGATTCTCATTCTCATGCAGGGGGCCAGAAATCAAAGAAGCTGAAATATCACATTTTTGCAAAAATTGTCAGCTGAGTTAATGAAATAAAAAAATCTCTACCCGTATATTATTATTATTATTATTATTATTATTATTATTATTATTATTATTATTATTATTATCAAGCACAGCAACTTGTTGCAAAGGCCATGGCTATACTGATGCTTTCAAATGTCGTCGGAAATTACACATACGACTTAAGAAAACAAGAAAATGTTGCATAAAATTAAGAAGGTGGGAATTCCATTTCTTCAGACTGAGTTTCCATGTTGCCCCCTGTTTGTATGGGTGCCACTTGGGCGCTCAGGAGGCTTCTCACGGTCTATACTAATACAGGTATATGTCTGTTTTAAACTTTCAAATGCTTAGTGCATTCTAGGATTTTCCATGAGGGTGGGGTTACTCATTGCAATGTCAAGCTGTATCTTATTGTTGTCTTTTGTTGAAGTTTTGCAGTTTTTGCATTGTATCTTTGTTGTTTTACTCTAATAAAAACATTAACATATCAATATGTCATGCATTTTATTTAATGTATTCATACACTTAACATTCTTTGATGCCTTCAGTTAGATGGACCATTACCAAGACCACAGCTGTTTTGAATTTTACAAGTAAATGCACTTGAGAGAAATAACTATAATATTGTATGTAAGTGTGAGTGATTTTGGAAACCAATGGCAGTAGCTGCATGCAAGGTAGAAAAAAATATGTTCAGAAATCTAATATGCTGTCAATCATCAAATGTATTTATAGTTTTATATATGTCATTTATTTAGGATATTAACTTGAGTTAATTCTTGACTTTGGAAGCAGCACTGTTTTACATTGAGCAAAATCAATCAGCTAAGAAAGACTTCAATTTGATTGAAAGCTCTGGGGAAAAAGATTTAATAAGTGGACTTGAGTCAAGATGTTTTTGTAAAACTATTCAACGTAAAACTATGACTTGAAAAATCTAAAAGCTGTCTTTTCTTCCCATCTTTGTGATAGAAGTTAGAGTGTCCGAGAGGCACGTGAAGGCAGCATAGGAGTCCTACATGGGAGGCCTGTGAGTGGGAGGAGGTTGTCGGCGCGTTTCTGTGCGGTGAGGCGGTGCCTTCCCTGCCTGCTCCAGACTGCGGCGGGTAGAGCTGTTCGGTACAGAAATGGCGGAGGGGGAGTTGGACGTCGACTCGCTGATTTCCAGGCTTTTAGAGGGTGAGTTAACAACCGCATTACGTCTGTATTGTCCTGTTTTTTTACGGCTTTAGCTTTGAAGCATTATTTATGTTTCGTGTTGAGGCAAGTTGACAAGAAAAACAGCCGCTTTACTTGCTAGCGTAGCCCGGGTTGGAGTGTACAGGACTAGTCCCGTCTGACTGTAATACGAATCACAGGCACACATTTAGTCTGCCGCCGCCTCTTTCCTGTGTCTTTTTTTAGATAAAGTTATGATTAATTCATGTCTGTGACGCTTGAGTGTTTTCATAAATTCAATTTTGGTTGTAAAAGTGTGGGTTCAAGGTTCAGTGGTAAGAAAGTTGTAGCTGGAGGACTGTTGATTGTTGTTCCCCCGACAGTACAGGAGTGAACGTCAGACCAACCCTAAAACTGTAGCAATTTATTCTTGATTAAATGTTGCATTGCTTGTATTACATCATTGACGGTGTCATCACTTTAGCATACAGCTAACAAAACACTAGCTAAGTTTCTTTTACCATTCAAAAACCTCGACTCTACTGCTCTCTATATCCACTAGCTTTTCACAACAAAATACACTAGGACAGGCGGGAGCTTGTGGGGCAAATCAGTCACAAAAGTTGGCATTTCCCTTCAAACAATATGCAGCTTGGTAAATCAAGTGTGCCGAAAATTTCATTAGAATTGTCAGCTCTGTGAAGAGCTGTATAATCGTTGTTACAGTATATCGCCCAAATATTTTTATCCAATAAAAAGAGTAAATGTCAGTTTTCCAAATGTGATCTGGTGTAAGGATTTCTCAGCTGGAAAGTGAAGGCAAAACATAGACTTATTGTGTTTATATACTAAGCAAGACAGCATAAAAGTACCATGGGCCCCGCAGCTACACCCCCCACCTTATTTTTTTAATAATAGAGGCTGAGTAAATGTATGTGAACTCATTATATGAAGTCATGACTGTAATTCATGATACATGCTGGAGTAATTCATGCATTAAGTTAAATCATCATGAGTCATAGTATTACTTAAGAATATGATTTTTGAAAGGGGGGAAAGGAGGGGTAAAAATGTTGTATGGTGATTATGATGATTATATGATAAAAAACTTTTGAATTAAAGCGCATCTTTAGGCGAACAGGCGTATATGCATTGGTATTTCAAATATACCATTCAGGTGAGAACAGCACCAAAAGCAACCACCACAGCATATTTCCACAGACTTTATGTAGTAATATTAAGATCAAACAGCTTCTTATAGATTAATATGCTTTATAAATGAAGCAGAATAAAGCAGCAGAAAATGCAGAGATATATAAACTCCACAAAACGCAACATTGCGAGGCACATGCATATTTGTTGATTCTGTACGGTGTGACTCACTGTATGAGTGGCATAAACTGAAAGATATATGGTGGTGTGTTTTTTATTTTATAGTATGACAGTTTCCCTACAATTAGATATTAAAAAATGCAATACATTGCCTTCCTTATAAGATTGCAATATATTGAATCATAACCCCTGTATCTTAATATGTGCACGCTTTGATAAAATAAGGTTGGCTTTTTTCTAACTCCAAAGTGTCTACTTTGAGGTCGATAATATTGCACAAAGGTTACCTCTGTACTTTCGAAGAAAGCGTTGTTGTTGCGCCCCCACCATTGTTATGTGTTGGGTAGCAGTGGATGACTTTCTTAGTCAGTGCAAAATAAGGGATCCTGATACAGGTGAGCTGATGTTTTTGTCACACATTTTCTTGAGAACACAGAGACGGTGTCCCTCTGTTTTTTTCAGTAAACATGTCGACAGCCAAGGCAGTTGTGAACAAACATTTGTGATCGATTCTCTCACAGGTTCACTGTGTTGAAAATCACACACACAATCTGTCAGCGTAATGAATGAGCACGCTGTGGATCAGTATGTCAGTATAACTTAATCATCTGGATTGATTAGGACTGATTACATAATGATAATTATTTGCTCTTTATGTGAGTGTCAACTGTAGTGTATTGTCAGCTGGGCAGGACTAAACAGGCTGACTTCATATTCAGCTTTTTTTTTTTTTGATGCAGCGTCTAGGAAACCTCAGTGAAGGAAATTGGAGAGATCAGGCCCTAAAGGTTTCCAGATGTGAGCTGTGAATATGTCCAACCATCCAACTCCTCTCAGCCGCTACAGCTAGTTTGTATCCGTCTGACTACTTTTGGTAAATGGTGTGAAAATACCAACTGAGAAGCAGACCCAATGCTTATGGTTTTCTGAAGGCTGATATTGATAGTTTGGCATGAAAGGACCTGAAAGTCGTCTTTACATTAAGTTCACTTACTAACTTTTTCTGCAGCTCCCAACTGTATCTCAAGGTATTCATTAGTTTGATGGAGTTTCAACTCATAAATTAACATTTGTTTTTGTCCAACTAATACAAAAAGTTGATGTTCTGAAAATTAAAAGTTTTATATTTTTTCAATACTAGTTTCAGTAACAGCTCCATAGCAGCAGAGCCAGGGATGTAAATCGACCAAAAAGTTAATTTTTAACTGTCCTGTACTGTCAGGTCCTTCATAAGCAAATTTAAGTGATTCTTATCAAAAAGTTTTGTTTATGTCAGGGCTGTACGATATGGAAAAAAAAAGAATATTAAGATTATTTTGGCAGATATTGCGATTTAAGTTGGAATGATTGTTTTTGCATTTCATTTTTACTGAAAAAAATATCAAAATAAATATGATTTTTCTTGGTCTTGTACCAAACAAACAAAAAAAAATGTTCCTTTATTTCTGGTGAATATGATGCGTAGGCCAGGGGGGCTCTGTAGCACCACAACACTTATAGTACTGACAATGCACAACAATTTGTGAAACATTTTACCTTTTAAATTACAGCTCCTGAGATTTGGATATTGCACTTGGCCATATTGTGATTTTGGATATATTTTGATCAAATGTGAAGCTTATACATGAATATAAACTTAACATGAATTGAAATGATATAAGAATCAGATTCTGTATCATATGAGGTGACCAGGGCTGACTGGTTAATATTTTCTGTATTTGTATAAGAGCAACAAAGGCAGAGTGACATTAGTCTAACACAAGCAGACATATTTGGGCCATACATAGGCAGAAATACAAATGTGCACAAACACAAACTGTCAATGGTGTATCAGTTTGTTTTCGTAAGGGGTGCATTTTATTTTAAGACTTGACCTTTCCACAACACAAAGACCTCTCACTGGCTTTTCCTTACTGATGAAGCCTCGATATTCCTCATCTTAGTTTACTTAACCAGATCACATCTACAGCCCTCTTTTATTTAGAAGTTTACTAAATAACCTGTCAGCGTGTTTCTCCTATCATTCAACTCAAGAAGATCAGAGTTGTTTTCATTCAGTTTTTAATTTCCCACACTGGGCATTCATTTCTTCTTCTTTGCAAGAATAAAGGGATATTTTCCCTCAGGTAGGGAAGGATTTCCTTCACCCTCTCAACTGTTGATCTTAATTTTTTTTTTAAGTGAACTCTGGTTCCAGCCAGGAACCTTTATACTCAGTCACAGACACTGGCGCATATATGGAGGGCTCTCTCAACTATTAAATGTCAGCAGGCACAGCTGTCCCTGGTAGAAATTAACCTACCCTTTTAGTGACACATACACACAGGGGTACACTTTAAAAAGGGGAATACTGTAATACAGTAGACTTTCAGCTCAGGTGTTCTTTTTCCACTGTCTTGTTTGGGTACATTGATGTTGGTGTTACACTTAAGCTGCCACAAGTAGTATTTTGGTATGTTTTTACTTTTCTACATGGACAAAGAAAAAGTTTATCAAATAAACTCACATAACAGAAAACCGGAAGATTTAAAATGCCTAAATTAGGGCAGCCTGATTATGGCAAAAATCATAATCGCGATTATTTAACATGATTACTCATTGACTTAGGAAACACCACGCATTGAACTTTTAAAAGAAGCTGTCTTTTTAACAGTGGACTGTCTTGAACTTTAAATAAAATTCAATCACCAGGTCCCTTTTATGCACAACGTATTTGAAAAACAATTCAGGATCCATTCTGAGAACAGTATAATAGTGTTGATTATGAACCAAGACCACTTTTGGAACAACATTATTTATTTATTTATTTATTTAATAGGGACAATGCATGTTAATAAACATCAGTATAAAATACAAAATGTAAACATGCCGGATTGTAGCAAAAATCCAAATAAAAGTAAATGACAATTCCTGTGTTCTTATCAACTCTGTTGGCAAAAATGAACAAGTGGCATCAGCTGATTGTGTCTGTGCAGCATCATCTTTGTGTATGTTTGCTTTTATTTATTTTTTTGCTTTTTTGGTGTCCACAGCACAAAACAAGTGTTGGTTTCATCAGAAACCTGTTTGTGGAAAACGTTTGGGTTTGGGTAAATGAAATGTAGAGGAAGAGCCGCATTTTCAAATGTAACCACCTCAGTCGGTGGACATCCAAAGATACACACGCACACACACGCAGTGCATGTGTCCTTCAGCAGTTGTCTGGTGGAGGGGTTGAGAGGCGTTGTCTAGCCGACAGGCTAAACCTGATCGAGTGACAACATGGTTTACAATCACTGAAGCCTCCTCAGTGGCCTCGGCGTGCAGGTTCTCTGGTTTCATTTGTCACAGTGAATACAATGGCTTGTCATTTGCTGTCTTGTGACCAATCTTGTGAGTCACAGTTATCAGCAAAGCAACACAAGGGTTCATAGATATAATCACCAAAGCCATTTGTCTGCATGAATAAAGTTGCATTTGTATGTCTGGATGTTAACATTTAGGAGTCAGTGTTTGCATTAAGCCTCACTCACTCTTCTTGTTGTTGGCCATGTTCAGTCCTGTCACTGGTTCACATCTGGCTGTGAAGCTCTGCCACAGTGGACTCCAACACAGTTTGCCATTTTGGATAAACTAATAGCTGGGACAGTTAATGTGTAATAAGATGCATAATTTCGGATCCAGATGTTATTCCTGTGTTAGTCACACAG